CCTGCGGGGCTGGCGGTGCCGCCTGCGCTCGGAGGCCGGCGGGCCCGTCGCCCGCCCACAGGTGCGGCCTCTCGGGGCCGGCGGTGCCACGGAAGGCCGAGTGTGGGCGGCTGTCCGCCTGCGGGGCTCTGGGCGCCGCGTGCCCGGTGCGGGGGCACGTCCTCCCCGAGTCTGTGCCGAGCTCATCCAGCCTCGCACTCAGCCGGGTCTGTGAGAGTGTCCGTGTGAGAGTGTCCGTGTGAGAGTGTCTGTGTGAGTGTGTGTGTGTGAGAGTGTGTGTGTGAGAGTGTGTGTGTGAGTGTCTGTGTGAGTGTGTGTGAGTGTCCGTGTGAGAGTGTGTGTGTGTGTGTGTGTGAGAGTGTCCGTGTGAGAGTGTCCGTGTGAGTGTCCGTGTGAGAGTGTGTGTGTGAGTGTGTGTGTGTGTGTGTGTGTGAGAGTGTCCGTGTGTGAGTGTCCGTGTGAGAGTGTCCGGGTGAGTGTGTGTGTGAGTGTGTGTGTGTGAGAGTGTCCGTGTGTGAGTGTCCGTGTGTGAGTGTCCGTGTGAGTGTCCGTGTGAGAGTGTGTGTGTGAGTGTGTGTGTGTGTGTGTGTGAGAGTGTCCGTGTGTGAGTGTCCGTGTGAGAGTGTCCGTGTGAGAGTGTGTGTGTCCGTGTGTGTGTGAGAGTGTCCGTGTGAGAGTGTTTGTGTGAGAGTGTCCGTGTGAGTGTGTGTGTGTGTGTGTGTGTGAGAGTGTCCGTGTGAGAGTATGTGTGTAAGAGTGTCCGTGTGAGTGTCCGTGTGTGTGTGTGTGTGTGAGTGTCCGTGTGAGTGTGTGTGTGTGTGTGTGAGAGTGTCCGTGTGAGGGTGTCCGTGTGAGAGTGTGTGTGTGTGTCCGTGTGAGTGTCTGTGTGAGAGTGTCCGTGTGAGTGTGTGTGTGTGTGTGAGAGTGTCCGTGTGAGTGTCCGTATGAGTGTGTGTGTGTGTGTGTGTGTGTGTGAGTGTCCGTGTGAGAGTGTGTGACTGTGTGAGAGTGTCCGTGTGAGAGTGTCCGTGTGTGTGTGTGTGTGTGTGTGTGAGAGTGTCCGTGTGAGAGTGTCTGTGTGAGAGTGTCCGTGTGTGTGAGTGTGTGTGTGAGAGTGTCCGTGTGAGAGTGTGTGTGTGTGTGAGTGTCCGTGTGAGAGTGTGTGTGTGAGAGTGTCCGTGTGAGAGTGTGTGTGTGTGAGTGTCCGTGTGAGAGTGTCCGTGTGAGAGTGTGTGTGTGAGAGTGTCCGTGTGAGAGTGTGTCTGTGTGAGTGTCCGTGCGAGAGTGTGTGTGTGTGTGTGTGTGAGAGTGTCCGTGTGAGAGTGTGTGTGTGTGAGTGTCCGTGTGAGAGTGTGTGTGTGAGAGTGTCCGTGTGAGAGTGTGTGTGTGAGAGTGTCCGTGTGAGAGTGTGTGTGTGTGAGTGTCCGTGTGAGAGTGTGTGTGTGAGAGTGTCCGTGTGAGAGTGTCCGTGTGAGAATGTGTGTGTGTGAGTGTGTGTGAGAGTGTCCGTGTGAGAGTGTGTGTGTGTGAGTGTGTGTGAGAGTGTCCGTGTGAGAGTGTCCGTGTGAGAATGTGTGTGTGTGTGTGTGAGAGTGTCCGTGTGAGAATGTGTGTGTGTGAGTGTGTGTGAGAGTGTGTGTGTGAGAATGTGTGTGTGTGAGTGTGTGTGTGTGTGTGTGTGTGAGAGTGTCCGTGTGAGAGTGTCCGTGTGAGGGTGTGTGAGTGTGTGTGTGTGTGTGTGAGAGAGAGAGTGTCCGGGTGAGTGTGTGTGTGAGAGTGTCCATGTGTGAGTGTCCGTGTGTGAGTGTCCGTGTGAGTGTCCGTGTGAGAGTGTCTGTGTGAGTGTGTGTGTGTGTGTGTGAGAGTGTCCGTGTGTGAGTGTCCGTGTGTGAGTGTCCGTGTGAGTGTCCGTGTGAGAGTGTCTGTGTGAGTGTGTGTGTGTGTGTGTGTGTGTGTGAGAGTGTCCGTGTGTGAGTGTCCGTGTGAGAGTGTCCGTGTGAGAGTGTGTGTGTCCATGTGTGTGTGAGAGTGTCCGTGTGAGAGTGTTTGTGTGAGAGTGTCCGTGTGAGTGTGTGTGTGTGTGTGTGTGAGAGTGTCCGTGTGAGAGTATGTGTGTAAGAGTGTCCGTGTGAGTGTCCGTGTGTGTGTGTGTGTGAGTGTCCGTGTGAGTGTGTGTGTGTGTGTGAGAGTGTCCGTGTGAGGGTGTCCGTGTGAGAGTGTGTGTGTGTGTCCGTGTGAGTGTCTGTGTGAGAGTGTCCGTGTGAGTGTGTGTGTGTGTGTGAGAGTGTCCGTGTGAGTGTCCGTATGAGTGTGTGTGTGTGTGTGTGTGTGAGAGTGTCCGTGTGAGAGTGTGTGACTGTGTGAGAGTGTCCGTGTGAGTGTCCGTGTGAGAGTGTCCGTGTGTGTGTGTGTGTGTGTGAGAGTGTCCGTGTGAGAGTGTCTGTGTGAGAGTGTCCGTGTGTGTGAGTGTGTGTGTGAGAGTGTCCGTGTGAGAGTGTGTGTGTGTGTGAGTGTCCGTGTGAGAGTGTGTGTGTGAGAGTGTCCGTGTGAGAGTGTCCGTGTGAGAGTGTCCGTGTGTGAGTGTCCGTGTGAGAGTGTGTGTGTGAGAGTGTCCGTGTGAGAGTGTCCGTGTGAGAGTGTGTCTGTGTGAGTGTCCGTGCGAGAGTGTGTGTGTGAGTGTGTCCGTGTGAGAGTGTGTGTGTGAGAGTGTCCGTGTGTGTGAGTGTGTGTGTGAGAGTGTCTGTGTGAGTATCCGTGTGAGAGTGTCCGTGTGAGAGTGTGTGTGTGTGAGAGTGTCTGTGTGAGTGTCCGTGTGAGAGTGTCCGTGTGAGAGTGTGTGTGTGTGTGTGTGAGAGAGAGTGTCCGTGTGAGAGTGTCCGTGTGAGAGTGTCCGTGTGTGTGTGTGTGTGTGTGAGAGAGAGTGTCCGTGTGAGAGTGTGTGTGTGAGAGTGTGTGTGTGTGTGAGTGTGAGTGTGTGTCTGTGTGAGAGTTTCTGTGTGTGTGTGTGTTTGTATGAGAGTGTCCATGTGAGAGTGTGTGTGTTTGTGTGAGAGTGTCCGTGTGAGAGTGTCCGTGTGAGAGTGTCTGTGTGAGAGTTTCTGTGTGTGTGTGTGTGTGTGTGTTTGTGTGAGAGTGTCCCTGTGAGAGTGTCCGTGTGAATGTCTGTGTGAGAGTGTCCATGTGAGAGCGTATGTGTGTGTGTGTGTGTTTGTGTGTGTCTGTGTGAGAGTGTCTGTGTGAGAGTTTCTGTGTGAGAGTGTGTGTGTTTCTGTGAGAGTGTCCGTGTGAGAATGTCCGTGTGAGAGTGTGTGTGTGTGTGTCTGTTTTTGAGTGTCTGTGTGTGTCTGTGTGTGAGTGTGTGTGTTTGTGAATGTCTGTGAGAGTGTGTGTGTCTGTATGTGAGTGTGTCTGTGTGAGAGACAGTGTGTCTGTGTGAGAGTGTGTGTGAGTGTGTCAGTGTGTGTCTGTGTATGAGAGTGTATGTGAGAGATTGTGTGAGTGTGTCTGTGTGTGAATATGTCTGTGAGAGTGTGTATCTGTATGTGAGTGTGTCTGTGTGAGAGACAGTGTGTGTGAGTGTGTGTGAGAGTGTGCCTGTGTGAGAGTGTGTGTGTGAGTGTGTCGGTGTGTGTCTGTGTGTGTGAGTGTGTGTGTGTGAGTGTGTGTGTGTGTGAGAGAGAGAGAGAATGTCTGTATACACAGCGGGGTGAGTGTGTCTGGCAGGGGGTGGGTGTCCAGCCTCCAGGTTGTCATTGGCTGTGCCGGGCAGGGCGGTGGGGTGGGTGGGCTGTGGGCCTGCCTCCTGGGTCTGGCCCAGTGGAGAGAACGGGGATGGGAGGCGGGGAAGGGTGGCCTGGCGCCCTGTTTCTGAGCCTGCCTGTCTACCCCTTGCTTTCTGTTTCTCGCCTGCCTCCCTGCCCCCCACCTCCCATCCTCTGCCCGGGCTGTGTCTCTGCCCGGCTCCTCTTGCCCGTCTGGCTCTGATGACTCATCTGGGGTTGGCAGGAAGGTTACTCAGGAACAAGGGCCTGCTGTTCTGATGGGGGGGGGGGGGTTGTGGTGGAGAGCGGCACCCAGGGTTCCAGGCCCCTATGGGTGGCTCCTGGACCCCAGGGGACTAGGTATGATGCCTCTGGTTCTAGCTCTGACTGGATGCAGGGTGCCCTCCGTAACTCAGCCCTCAGCTGCTGCTTCAGAGCTGTGGGGTCTCAGCTGCCTCTTACATTCCTGCCTAGAGCATTGTGGGAGCAGCTGGAGGAGGACAAAAGGATGGGGGAGTGTGCCCCAGTCCTCCTACACCCTGGAGTGACCTTCAGAAAGTGGGGACTGGGTGGTCAGGCCAGGAGGGAGGGCACAGCAGGAAGAGCTGCAGTGTGCGGGGTGGTCCTGGGGTCCCCCAGGGTTCCAGGGCTGCGAGTTCAGTGCGGCCCTGCTCTTCCTGCCTGGGCTGGAGGGGTCCCCCTGCCTGGGCTGGAGGGGTCCCCCTGCCTGGGCTGGAGGGGGTCCAGGGTTCATTAGGAGGCACCGTTGGGATGGGTTCCGGGAACGAGCTGCCGGGCCCCTGGGGGGAGAGCAGGCTCTCAGACGCCCCTGACACAGATCTGGGAGGGCCCAGGGTGGGGCCTGCAGCCTGCACTTCTCCACGTTTCCCGGTGCTGCCCAGGCCTGGCCCGGGGTCACACTGTGCTCATAGGCTACAGGGGCTGTGAGACTGGAGGGCACGGGGTCCCTCACTTGTCTAAAAAACGGGGGCTCCTAGGTGGGGAGGGGAGAGATTAGCCCAGTGCCTGGTTCTCGGGAAGCATTCTAAAAACATGGCGGGTGCTGTCAAACGGCCCCCGTCCTCTTACTGCATTGTCCCCAAGCAGCCCGTGCTGCCTCTCTCTGCTGTTGCTGGCTGAGACCCTGGCTCCTTGGTTGCCCTTTAACTTACCACCCCCCCATTTTGTTCCCTGTAGAGATGCTGCCCCCACCCCCTTAGGCCCAAGGGATCAGGAGCTATGGAGCCGGGGGCCCTCTCATCTCTGCTGCTGCTGTTCTCCGTGGCAACTGGAGGTGCTGACATGACAGGACATTTCAACCCTGGTGAGGAGGCGGCTCTCGGTGCCTGAGGGTGGGGCCTGGGAGACAGTCAGAGGCAGGACCCTCACCTGCCTGTCCTCACCAGCCAAGTGCCGCTATGCCCTGGGCATGCAGGACCGGACCATTCCGGACGGGGACATCTCTGCCTCTAGCTCCTGGTCAGACTCCACGGCTGCTCGCCACAGCAGGTACCTGGCTCTCCGGGCAGGGCGGCCCTGGAGGTTAGCTCCTGCGTCTCTGCTTGCCCCTCCAGCCCCTCTGCGCAAGCCAAGAGGCTTCTGAGAGGGCCCGTGCCCCTGAGACCCCGCAGTCCTGGGGGCTTTAAACTAGAGCCAGAGGCAGACCCAGGCCAGATGCTCCGGTGACCTCCTGCCCCCTCCCAGGCTGGAGAGCAGCGATGGGGACGGGGCCTGGTGCCCGGCAGGGCCGGTCTTTCCCAAGGAGGAGGAGTACCTGCAGGTGGATCTCCGGCGGCTGCACCTGGTGGCTCTGGTGGGCACCCAGGGGCGGCACGCTGGAGGCCTGGGCAAGGAGTTCTCCCCCAGCTACCGGCTGCGCTACTCCCGGGACGGCCACCGCTGGATGGACTGGAGGGACCGCTGGGGTCAGGAGGTGAGGCTGCAGGGGGACAGCCAGGGGGTGGCTCTCGCTCTCCTCCACCTGTCCACGGACCACCCCCCGGTCCACACCCTCTCACCCGAGCTGTGCAACCTGGACGCTGTCCAACCTGGACGCCCAAGGGGGTTTCGAATTTACCGTCAACTTCCCAAGCTGAGCTTGAGTCCCACACCCGCCCAGCCCGGCCCCCGCCCCCTCCCCATGCCCTCCAGCTCAGGAGATGGCACCATATGTGCCCACTGAGCGGCTCAGGCCAGGAGCTAAGATGATACCCGACTCTGTTCTCTCACTTCCTGCTTCCAACGTATCAGCAAGACCAGTCTGTGCTGCCTCCAGCTGTTTCCTGCCTCCATCACTTCCCCCTCTTCCACCTGCCGGGGTGAGCCCCACCTTCCCCACCCCATCCCACTCAAGTGCGGGCTGCGGGGTCCCTAACTGTTCTCCCTGCTCCTGCCCGTCCTGCCTGAGTCAGAGCTTGCCTTGGAGGCGGCGTCAGTGTCTTTCGGACCAGGCGGCCAGGCAGCCCGCACAGGCGTGCCCCTCCTCGACCCTGGCGACCGGGGACCACCGGGCAGCGGCAGCTCGTCCCGGGCTGACCCCTGACCTTGTCCCCCAGGCCTCCTTTTCTCTGACTTCATTCATTCATCCATTCATTCAATCCTTGCCCAAGGAGTGAGGATATTTTTTCCATTAATTTTTAGTGAGAGTGGAGAGACTGTTAGATGTGCTGTGAGAGACTCGCCACCAAGGCACACCCCCTTGACCAGGAATCGAACCTGTGGCTCTCTGCTGCCCAGGCGGAACCTCTCACCTCTGAGCACCGGCCAGAGCTTCTCTGACTTCTTATGAGCCAGCAGCCCAGCCCGGCTCCCTTCCCCGCCGCGCCCTCCCTGCTGTGTCTTCTGCCCCGGGCTCTCCTGTGTCTCGCTCTTTCCAGCTTTAATAAACTCCAAATAAAAAAACTAAAAAGGAGATGCATGTCCGACGGGGCCCAGTGGCTGCCGCTGCGGTCGGCTCCCACTTGCAGGAAACACCCGTTCCCCGGCCTTGCCCACTGGCCACCCTGGTTTTCCGGCCGTTTGTGGACCAGCTCATCCCACACCTTCAGCATTTTCACTGGCTCTTCTCTGGAAAGCTCCTCCTGCCCCATGTCCACCCCCTGTCCAAGGCTCGCCCTGCCCCCCTCTCTCCCCAGATGTCACCTTGGCCAGCCTCTTCTGGCCACCCCGCTCCCGCTGCCCCAGCCCTCTGCCGCCTTACTCTGCACAGCTGTCTCCTGTGGGCTGTGTCCTGCAGGGGACGCCCTGGCGCTAACCCAAGGGTTTGCTGGCCATGGTGGCCCTGGGCACCTGCAGAGTGAGCGGAGGGCTGGGGGCTGGGGCAGGAGCAGGTGATGGGATGCAGACCTGCCTTCCCACCCACCCACCTGTTCCCCGGCTTGCAGGTGATCTTGGGAAATGAGGACCCGGGGGGAGTGGTGCTGAAGGACCTTGGGCCCCCCATGGTGGCCCGACTGGTCCGCTTCTACCCCCGTGCTGACCGGGTCATGAGCGTCTGTCTGCGGGTGGAGCTTTACGGCTGCCTCTGGAAAGGTGAGCTGTTCAGAGGCTCCGCCCCCGTGTCCTGGAGGTGGGGGGAGGGCGGGGGAGGAGCATCGGGACCTCTCCCTTGCGGAGCTGCATTCTGAGTGAAGAGGGGACTGGCCAGCATAGCCTCCTCCAAGCCTGCTCCATGCCCCCTCCCACCCTGCCCAGATGGACTGCTGTCTTACACGGCCCCTGTGGGGCAGACGATGAACTTGGCTGAGGCCGTGCACCTCAATGATTCCACCTACGATGGACACACCACGCACGCCATTGGCGGGTGAAGAAGCGGGCCCTGCTGGCCGGCCTGGGGAGGGAGGGAAGTGCAGTGGGTGGGGGTGGGGTGGGGATAAGTAGTCATGCAGTGAGATAGAAGAATGGGGGGGCGGGGTCAGGTGGGCTAAAGGGACAGGACCAGGACTGAAGGCCAGCAAGGTGACCAGTAGCTCATGTGACCCTGGAATTAGAAAAAGGCACCCCTTTGCCGACACCTCAATGTCACGATAAACACGCACGTCGTGGGGGACGCGCAGCATGTGGCTCCGAGGACCCGTCCTGTCCTGGTGGTGGGAGAGCGGTGAGGCTGGGCCAGGGGCCGGCTGCCAAGCACTGGCTTGGACACTTTCTTCTCTCCCCGACCCGCGGCCCGCAGGCTGCAGTACGGCGGGCTGGGCCAGCTGGCGGACGGCGTGCTGGGGCTGGATGACTTTCGGGAGAGCCGGGAGCTGCGGGTCTGGCCGGGCTATGACTATGTGGGATGGAGCAACCACAGCTTCCCCGGCGGCTACGTGGAGATGGAGTTTGAGTTTGACCGGCTCAGGGCCTTCCAGGCCATGCAGGTGAGTGTGTGCGCTCCCAGGGGGGCGCCGGGCCCCGGCCTTGCCCATGCCTCTCTCCCTCCCCAGGCTCACTGCAACAACATGCACACCCTGGGAGCCCGCCTGCCCGGAGGGCCGGGGTCCCCGGGCGCTCGGGCCCGGCCTTGCCCATGCCTCTCTCCCTCCCCAGGCTCACTGCAACAACATGCACACCCTGGGAGCCCGCCTGCCCGGCGGCGTCGAGTGTCGCTTCAAGCGGGGCCCGGCCGCGGCCTGGGAGGGGGAGCCTGTGCGGCACGCCCTGGGGGGCAGCCTGGGGGACCCCCGGGCCCGGGCGGTGTCGGTGCCCCTGGGCGGCCGTGTGGCCCGCTTTTTGCAGTGCCGCTTCCTCTTTGCTGGGCCGTGGCTGCTCTTCAGTGAGATCTCCTTCATCTCTGGTAAGCCCTGATGTCGCCTAGTCCCCGACACCTGCCCCTGGCACCCACCTAGGACACTTCCCAAGCAGGGGTCTCCCTCGTGGTGGCAGCCCCCCACCTGTCTCTGTCCGTCTGTGGTGAGACCCCAGGACTGGTGATGGCCAGTGTGAGGCTGGCTGCTAAACACCGAAGCACTGCCGGCTGGGAAGGAGCCCATCTCCGAGCCCCGCATCTTCCCGCAGCCCAGCAGCTAAATGGTTAACGCCCATCCCTCCTCCCGTTCTGATTGGTTGGGACATGTGTTGAGTGTCAGCCCTGTTCCCACTGGCCTCCCCCTGGTTCTGCAGTCCCTGCCCTGCCCGGCTGCCTTGTCTGCCTCCCTCTCTGTCTTCCTTCTCCCCAGATGTTGTGAACGAGTCCTCCCTGGCTCTGGGGGGCACCTTCCCACCAGCCCCCTGGTGGCCACCTGGCCCACCTCCCACCAACTTCAGCGGCTTGGGTGAGCAGCCTGGGCCTCCTCAGGTTGGTCCTGGCACCCCAGCTTGGGTGGGGAGCCTCCTGCCGCTCTGATCCTCCTCCGCTCTTTCCCTCTCCCAGAGCTGGGGCCCCGGGGCCAGCAGCCCGTGGCCAAGGCAGAGGGCAGCCCGACGGCCATCCTCATCGGCTGCCTGGTGGCCATCATCCTGCTGCTGCTGCTCATCATCGCCCTCATGCTCTGGCGGCTGCACTGGCGCCGGCTCCTCAGCAAGGTGGGCGGGGCTCCGGGCCTGGCCCCACCCCCACCCCCACCCCCACCCCCACCCCCACGTCTGCAGTCAGGGGTCGTCTACCCAGAATAATTAGAGGGGTCACCGAAGAGACGCTTATGGAAATGTGGGTGGGGAGCATGGAAATCCAGGGGTGCTGGGGCCTGCAGGCCAGTCGCCACAGTGTCCTGGCTGCTTGCTGCGAGGAGGCAAGCCTGGAGGGAGGGCAGGGAGGGGCGGGGCAGCGGCGACCCGCTGTCCAGGGCCTCCGGACTCAGGCACGCGGTGGGAAAGGGGGGAGCTGCAGGGCCCGGGAGAAGTGTCAAACCCCACACCCATGTCTTCCGGGGAGTCGGCGGCTCCCGTTGACCATGTGGACCGTCAGACTGGGGGTCCCATCTGCGGACTCGAATGCTCTGGAGCTGGGTTCGCCGCCTGCGGGTGGCGTTCAGTGAGGACGGGAGGAGGGAGCGGCGGGCAGCTCACACTGCCTTCTCGCCAAGGCCGAGCGGCGGGTCTTAGAAGAGGAGCTGACGGTTCATCTCTCTGTCCCTGGCGACACCATCCTCATCAACAACCGCCCGAGCCCTCGAGAGCCACCCCCCTACCAGGAGCCCCGGCCTCGTGGGAACCCTGCCCATCCTGCCCCCAGTGTCCCCGGCGGCTCCGGTAAGACCTCGCTCCCGCTCCCGTCTGCCTCCATGCTCTCCGCCTGTTCTCATTGTGCTCCTTTCCCGTTCCCGTGCTTTTATGTCGCCCCTAGTTTCAGCTCCTTTTCTTAGTCCCGTGTCTCTGGTAAGGGCCCACTGCAGGTCCCTGCCTTAGGATCTCACTCAGGGCTTCCCACACACCTGCCACCCACAGCCCCGCGGCCTCCTGTCCGGTCCACACACAGCCCTGCTCTCTACTCTCTCACTGTGTCTCCCGCCTCCTTTCTCCTGGACTCACCCCGTTCCTTCCACCCACCACTATCTGCCACCCCCCCCCACCTTATGCACATATCATTCATCATTCCTCACGTACCTGTCATTCTCCCACCCACCCGCCCATTTGTGCATCACCCGTCCACCGTCCAGTCATCCCTCCACACATCATCCATCCACGCATCATCCCTCCACCCGTCTCTTCGTGCTTCCATTCACTCTCCTCCCAGCTGGCCAGCGCGCTCCACATCAGGCTTTATTCTCTCTCCGTACATTGGTCTTGCCCCGTTCCTGGTCGTCTTGTCTGTCTGGCCTTGAGTCTCACCCCTTCCCCGTGTCCCCCACCCCTCCTTCTCCCGACAGCGCTGCTGCTCTCCAATCCGGCCTACCGCCTCCTTCTGGCCACTTACGCCCGCCCCCCTCGAGGCCCGGGCCCCCCCACACCCGCCTGGGCCAAACCCACCAACACCCAGGGTAAGACCCTCTCCTGGGCTCCGCCGGCCTTTACGGGACAGGGAAAGGGCCTCACACCTCGCACTGCCCGCGCCTCACTGGCCTCTCTCCCGAGCTCCCATGGCCCCTCTTGTGCCCTAACTCTCCTCTGCTCGCCCTCAGGCCTCCCCGGAGCTGAGGAGGGGAGCCCGGCCCCCAGCTCTCCCCCGCCCCTCACCTCTTGGGCTCTCCAGAGCAGAGAGGCGGGCAGGCTCTGCTGTGACTCCTCTGTTCTCCCCTCTCCAGAGCTCCGAGGAGGAGGGCCTCTCCCTGGGTGCTGGCCCTGCCCCCTGTGTCCTCTCCGCAGCCCCGAGGTGAAGGCTCGCCCCTCCTGTCTGCCTCCCCTCCTGGTGTCGCCTTCTCCTTGTTCCCCTCCTCCAGGGCTGAGGGGGCTCTGCCCTCCTGTCTGTAGACCCTGTTGTGCGGCCTGAGGGACGCCCCTCCCGCTGTGTGCCTGTCTCTGCTTGTCTCTGAGCTCGGGGTGTGGTGGGGGGATGGGAGCAGGGAGGAGCCAAGGCTGAAGATGGTTGGGGGAGGGGGGGTTGGGAACAGTTGAGTGAGAGTGAGGAGCGGGCAGCAGCCGCGCCGGCCTTGGTGAGGGTGCGGAGAGGAGTCCCTCTCCTCCGGGGCTCCCGGCTCCGGCGAGCTGGGCGCCGGGAGAACATGCACAGCCATCGGTGCCTGGGAAGCCCGGCCCAGCTCTCCCCGCCACACGCAGCTTCTGTTTGAGGACGGAGGGAGGCAGACCAGGCTCTGACCCAGCGGACTGGGGGGCTGGGTGTGGCGTGGCTCCCGGCTCCTGATGCCTTCTCTCCTTTGCCCTGCAGCCTGCAGCGGGGACTACATGGAGCCTGAGAAGCCAGGTGCCCCGCTTCTGCCCCCGCCGCCTCAGAGCAGCGTCCCCCACTACGCCGAGGCTGACATCGTCACGCTGCAGGGCGTCACGGGGGGCAACACCTATGCGGTGCCCGCGCTGCCGCCCGGGGGCGCGGGGGACGGGCCCCCCAGAGTGGACTTCCCTCGGTCTCGGCTCTGCTTCAAGGAGAAGCTGGGCGAGGGCCAGTTTGGGGAGGTAAGGAGGCCCCGGCCGGCGGGAATGTGCACACGGCCCTGGAGCAGGAACTGCCGCCCGTGACATCGCCCGGGACCCTCTGCAGGTGCACCTGTGTGAGGTGGAGCGCCCTGAGGAGCTCGTCAGCCTCGACTTCCCCCTTAGTGTGCGCAAGGGGCGCCCCCTGCTGGTAGCTGTCAAGATCCTGCGGCCGGATGCCACCAAGAACGCCAGGTGAGCACCAGGTGGGGCTGGGAGTGGAGGCGCGGCCACAGAGCGCATGGCGGAGACAGCAGAGGGGTGTCGGGGAAGGCACCCCGGGGGCCGGCCCGTGGAGCAGGGCTGTGCAGGCCAGCCCACGTGCCCTCTCGCCTTCCCCCGCTCCAGGAACGACTTCCTGAAGGAGGTGAAGATCATGGCGAGGCTGAAGGACCCAAACATCATCCGGCTGCTGGGCGTGTGCGTGCAGGACGACCCTCTCTGCATGATCACCGACTACATGGAGAACGGCGACCTGAACCAGTTCCTCAGTGCGCACCAGCTGGAGGACAAGGCGGCCACGGGGCCCCCCGAGGGTGGGGAGCCCGCCCGGGGGCCCACCATCAGGTCAGCCGCTGCCCAGCAGGCCCCGCCCTGAGAGCGCCAGCCTGGGGGCGGAGCGCACGGGGTGGGAGGCACACAGGCTGAGGAGGGTCCGGGACCAGGACCGAGGGGCGGGGAGGCTGGCCTGCCTGCTGCGAGGCCCGGAGGGACTGTGCCCCGTCACCTCACTGCCGAGCTCAGTCAGGCGCGTAAGAAAGGCAGCGGCTCCCTGGGGTCAGGTGACCACAGAAGGTGGGGCGGGCTCTGACCACACCTCCGCCTGGTACTTCCATCTTGGCATTGCGGCTGCCCTGGGGATCTGTGAAGCTACCAGCGACCCTCTGTCCGTGCCCCCCACTCAGCTACCCGATGCTGCTGCACGTGGCAACCCAGATCGCCTCGGGCATGCGCTACCTGGCCACACTCAACTTTGTGCACCGGGACCTGGCCACCAGGAACTGCCTGGTTGGGGAAAATTTCACCATCAAGATCGCCGACTTCGGCATGAGCAGGAACCTCTACGCTGGGGACTACTACCGGGTGCAGGGCCGGGCGGTGCTGCCCATCCGCTGGATGGCCTGGGAGTGCATCCTCATGGTGAGAGCCTGCAGGGGCGGCCTCCGAGCTCATCCATGGTGAGGGGGTGGCTCGGCCCGAGAAGCACGGAGGAGGAGGGAGGGAGGGCCGCTGGGAGGGCCCGGAGACAGTGGGTCTGACAGGTGGAGTGGGGCAGAGAGCGAGAGAGACCAAGAGACAGGGCAGGCTAGAGCTAGAGGAAGGGGAGTTGGAAGTTAGTCGAGACCAGAAAATGGGGGCAGGAGGGGGAGGCCGAGCCAGAGAAGCAAGGCGCAGAGGGCAGGCCCCGGCCGAGGGGGCCGAAGGGCGGGCTGCTGCCCGATGCCTTACCCACGCCCCAGGGCAAGTTCACCACGGCCAGCGACGTGTGGGCCTTCGGGGTGACCCTGTGGGAGGTGCTGATGCTCTGCCGGGCCCAGCCCTTCGGGCAGCTGACCGACGAGCAGGTCATCGAGAACGCAGGCGAGTTCTTCCGGGACCAGGGCCGCCAGGTGAGAGGGCTCCGCTCCGCACCGGAGGGGGGGGGGGCGGGAGGCGGGGCCGCGGCAGGAACCAATGAGCATCGCCCCTCGCCTTCCTCCCCTGCTCCACCGTGTAGGTGTACCTGTCCCGGCCCCCCGCCTGCCCCCTGGGCCTGTACGAGCTGATGCTCCGGTGCTGGAGCCGGGAGCCGGAGCAGCGGCCGCCCTTTGCCCACCTGCACCGCTTCCTGGCAGAGGATGCACTCAACACAGCGTGAGCGCTGCACCAGCCCCCTGGGGCTCAGGGGAGCCAGAGGAGCCGGCGGCCGCCTGCCCCGGCCTCCGAGAGGCAGTGCGGCACAGGGCGCCTTTGGGAGCTGACCCTCGCCGCTCCCTCCTGGCGGCCCCGCCCGCCCAGCGGGCCTGTGGCCAGATCCTCTGAGGCCTCTGGCCGGCCCTGGGGGAGGCCCGGGGCAGACGCAGGGCAGACACTGGACGTGGCCCTGGAGCCGCCGGGCCCCTGGACAACACTGGTTCTTGGAGGGAGGTGGCCCCCGCCTCTCCCTCTGTCACACACTGGACCCACTGGCTGAGGACTGGGGAAGTGAGGGGGCCAGTCCTCAGAAGCACTGGACCTGGGGCCCTGCCTGGCCCGGCCGCCACCTCTCCTGCCTGTAGAGCTAGCACTCCTTGAAGCGGATGTTTCTGTGGAATAAATATTGGAATTAGGGGACGGGGAAACGCCCGTGGCCCTGGGTCTGGCATCTCTGTCGTAGCTGCCACGTTGGTTTTTCTATGGTCACTTGGGGTTTGTACATTTTTGGCGGAAGAGACAGATTTTTACACTAATATATGGATCGAGCGCAGTGTAATGTTAACCCCCTGCACTAGGCAGGTGCCAATAAAGGTTGAGTTTTCCACAGCCGTGAGCAGGTTTCTTGGGGTTTTGGTAAAATCTCCGGCGGGCCTGAGCTCCCCCCAGCACTCCGCTGTGACCCCTACGGGGGTGTGCACAGGGTGATCCGGAGTTTGTACCAATGTTAAACGTATGCGATGCCCGGGCTTTTAGAACATATTTAATAACATCCAGCAGCAGTCATGACAAGCGCGGCACCTGACGTTTCGGTGGCGGCGGGCCAGGCAGACGGCTGTGTCCGTCAGGGACAGTCCGCGGGGTTTGCTCACTCACGTGGAGCAGGTGCTGCGTTTCACTAGAGGTTAAACAGGCCTGTCCTCTTCCAGCCCCTATTCCAGCCCCCCCCCCCCCCCCCAGTCCCGCTGGAGCAGCTCACCTAGACTAGGCTGGTCAAGTGTGCGAGCCGCCCAGAAGCAAGAGCCTAACGGCTTCAGGCTCCGAAGGGTGATCCATCACCACCAGCAGAGCAGTTAACGGAATGGTCAGACTTGGCTGGAGAGGGAAAACCTGTTGCAAGTACTAGCAAGGCAGCTCGCCTCGATGGCGTTCTTGTGAATATGGACCCAGGACATGGCGGCTGCTCACACAGGAGCCAGCGGCGGGCGGCGTGGAGGCCGGTCCGCTCCGGTGGGACCCGGGCCTCGGGGGCCAGGACATGGCAGAGGAGGAGCCGAGCCGGGCTGAGGGGCGGGCGGGCGGGCGGCCGCTGTGCTGAGCCTGGAGCTGTAGACCGCGGTTTTCTCCCTTCCCATCTCGTGGCTCAGATCTAATTGTAAAATTCGGTGGCACACTAAAGAAATTAGTTTTTGCTCACCTGGCCAAAAAACTCATTCACACTGGACGGCTATTGTGTTGGATGCAATGTTATTTATTTATTTTTGAGAGAGAGAGAGAGAGAGAGAGAGGCTGACTGTGGTTCCCTTATGGGCATTCATTGGTTGGCTGTTCCTGTGCCCTGACCCGGCACTCTGGGCGGAGCTCCGGCCAGGCTGTGCGGCCACTGTGGGTCCACGGGAAAGGCCATGCCCCCGGCCAAGTGTCAGGTGTCCCCTCCTAACAGTCCCGCGGCACACGGGGACCCGCGGTCCGGCCACGGCCGCCAGAGCCCAGTGCGTCTCCGTCTCGGAGTGTCCTGGCCTCTTGTTCCCCGACCAACGGCAGCCGCACCGCTCAGCGCACAGCCCGGCGACCACGCTCACACCGCACCCTCACAGCCGGTGACCACGGAGCCCTGTGCACAGGCTCCCAGCTTCCCTTCACTCGCGCTCCATCCCAGCACGGTCTCTCCTGCGGGACAAGGACAGGTCCCGCGGGACCCATGCCTGCTCCTCCTTCGGCCCCGGCCTCTCGCCCTCCTATGGCATGGCCTTCAGAGCACCTGTCCCCCACCTGGGACACAGCGCCCCCTGTCTGCCTGGGGGCATCTGCTTGGCCCCCAGCGGACCCCGACCTGCGTGAGCTCACCTTCCCTCTTGTGCTCTCTTCTTCAGCACTTGGGACAGGTGTGATTCTAACGGGTGCTTTTAAGGAGCAGACTCCTCTCCTGTGTGCATGCACCGTGCTCCTGACATATCACAGCTCACTTGACAGAGGAACTAGCTAACACTGCCCCACCGCACAGGGAGGAGTCCGCAGGCAAAGGCACTGGCCCAACACGGCACAGCTGCAGGGGGGGGACAGCTACAGAGGGGGCACGGCTGCACAGGGGGGACAGCTACGGGGGGGGGGACAGCTGCAGAGGGGGGACAGCTACAGAGGGGAGACAGCTACAGAGGGGACACAGATACAGGGGACACAGATGCAGAGGGGATGCAGATGCAGAGGGGGACACAGATACAGAGGGGACACAGCTACAGAGATGGGAAACAGATGCAGGGGGGGACATATGCAGGGGTGACATAGATGCAGAGGGGACACAGATACAGAGGGGACACAGATACAGAGGGAGGACAGCTACAGAGGGGACACAGATGCAGGGAGGACACAGATACAGAGGGGACACGGCTGCAGAGGGGCACAGATGAAGAGGAGACGCAGATGCAGAGGGGACACAGATGTAGGGGGACGCAGATGCAGAGGGAACAGATGCAGGGGGGACGCAGATGCAGGGGGGACGCAGATGCAGAGGGGACACAGATGCAGGGGGGACGCAGATGCAGAGGGGACATGGCTGCAGAGGGGCACAGATGAAGAGGAGATGCAGATGCAGAGGGGACACAGATGCAGGGGGGACGCAGATGCAGAGGGGATGCAGATGCAGAGGGGATGCAGATGCAGGGGGACACAGCTGCAGAGGGGGACACAGCTACAGAGGGGACACAGCTACAGAGGGGACACAGCTGCAGAGGGGACACAGATACAGAGGGGACACCTACAGAGGGGACACAGCTGCAGAGGGGACACAGCTGCAGAGGGGACACAGATACAGAGGGACACAGATGCAGGTGGGACGCAGATGCAGGGGGGACGCAGATGCAGAGGGGACACAGCTACAGAGGGGACACAGCTACAGAGGGGGACACAGATGCAGAGGGGACACAGATGCAGAGGGAACACAGATGCAGAGGGGACACAGATGCAGAGGGGACGCAGATGCAGAGGGACACAGCCGCAGAGAGCAGTGCTGCTGAGAAGCAGACTCTGGGCTCCTGGATCTTGGCTTGGTCTCCAGGACGCTGCCTGAGGAGGCGCCGCTCACTCTACACCTTAGGCATGCGGGACGTTTGGGCCGGACGTTTGGGATGGCTCCCCGGATTCTCTGTCCCTCAGAGTCACAGGGTGAGTCCACAGACGAAGGTGGAATGACACGGTGTTCCCCGGGCAGGATGGCTCCCCGGATTCTCTGTCCCTCAGAGTCACAGGGTGAGTCCACAGACGAAGGTGGAATGACACGGTGTTCCCCGGGCAGGATGGCTCCCCGGATTCTCTGTCCCTCAGAGTCACAGGGTGAGTCCACAGACGAAGGTGGAATGACAAAGGTGGGAATTTACTGAAGAGCAAGCACGGACTCCCAGGTGGGGAGGAGGAAGTGTCCGAGTTCCTTCCGGTTTATAAAGGGTGCAACTTTTGTGCCTTGCTATCCTCTCTGATTGGCCACTATTCCCCTTTGATGTGGTCACTATAGCAACTCCTGAGCTCAAAGGTTAAACCTCACATGGGACACGTGAGGTCCCCCTTTATCATAGTTTGTAAATATAGACTTTTAGCTACTTCCAGTTCCCTTGTTTTATGGGAATGTATCTTTTGCAGTTCTGTAGCTCCTTGTTTCTTCCATGGATCCCTTAATTTAAAAATTCCCTACACCTGCTGAAACCGGTTTGGCTCAATGGTAGAGCATTGGTCTGCAGACTGAACGATCCCGGGTTCGATTCCGGTCAAGGGCATGTACATTGGTTGCGGGCACATTCCCAGTGGGAGGTGTGCAGGAGGCAGCTGGTCGATGTATCTCTCTCATCGATGTTTCTAGCTCTCTATCCCTCTCCCTTCCTTTCTGTGAAAAATCAATAAAATATATTTTTAAAAAATTCCCTACACTTGCCTTCTTCACCCCCAAATTCCTATTTCAACAGTGAATTTGGAGCACAGGCTGGATAGCCCTAAACCAGGCGCCTTATACAACCAGCTCTAGGGGCCCAGGCTGACTTCTCCGAAGGCCCGTTCCAGGAACTGCTCACTTCCTGCAGGAGCATGTGCCCCCGAGCAGGACGCGATGAGGAGCCGGTTCTCCCCACACTGGTCAGTAGGTAGCCACTGCTGAGCACTGAAACGGGCAAGTGTGCCTGAGAACTAAGTGTCAGTGTCTGCACTGAAGGAAATAGCTGCAGGTGGCTAGCAGGCCGAGCCTCAGAGCTCTCCTCTCATGGACAAAATACAAAGGGCTCTTCTAAAGCAATAAGGAAAAGGCCTGCCCAGCCACACCGTCTCTTTCGCACAGCATGGAGCATAGGCCCTAGCCGAGTCTTACTCATGCGGGGCATGCCGTTTTGTACTCTGCTTTCCTCTCCCTCCTGACGGGTGGTGCGGAGCGCCAGGCCGCCGCTGTGCCTCCTCCCCCGAGGGCCGCCCCGTGTTCTTCCCGCAGCAAAGAGCCACCTCACAGCCACTCCCAGCAACGACGCCCGGGCTGTTCCCGTTGGCTTCATAACACGACAGACACACTTCCAGAAACATCTTTGCATGTATAGCTCTGTACCAGGTAGTAGAATTTTAGTATGAAACATTCTTAAAGGGGGCGGGGGGGGGGTTGCCAAATTGCCCTTAAAAAAGCATGCCTACGTCAACCTTCAATGAAAGTGTATGAGCCGAGACCGGTTTGGCTCAATGGATAGAGCATCAGCTTGGGGACTGAAGGGTCCCGGGTTC